GGGGGGCCACACCCGGTTTATACGAAATTAGTTCCTCTTTACCCAAGGATGCTTCAGACCAAATATGGAACAAATCCTTTCATTCCTACAGAATGAGAAGGATTTTAAAGACTTTGCTATGTTTCTCCTATTGGGACCCGCCCCTCAGGCCTCTGGGGGGGCCAGACCCACGGTTTATACAAAGTTTGTTCATCTTCCCCAAGGATTCTTCTGACCAAATATGGAACAAATCCTTTCATTCCTACCGAAGAAGAAGGATTTTAAAGAATTTGCTATATTTTCCCTATTGGAAGCAATTCTTATTATATTTGGGCAACACTACAGAACACAGTGGACAGCCTGTGATTATATGGATGTGGGCGGGGAGGGGCTGCAATGTATACCACAAAGAAGGAATGTTTGGCAATCGTATGTATTAGGTGATCTGTCTTGTCACTCAGTATTCCATCTCCAGGCACCCAATATGGTATACATACAGGTTATTTCCATCAGATAACAAATATAGTCACTTAGTTTATGATTGCATTGAGAGCCAACAAACTTATATCACTTCATCATAAACTCTCAGAACTTCGAATTGAAAGCTGCTCACTACATCCTAATTAACCAGGTATTCTTTTGTGCCACTTGCCATTTTAATTTACAACAAATCCAACAACAATCTTTGTCATTCAACACTCTCTGGAGCTATCCATTGTTACTGAGAGTCAGATCTAAAAGAGTAGAGGAAAGAAATGTGAATGACATTATGTTTGCCGGTTTCAAAGATTCCTGTCCCACGGCAGGTAAAACACTAGAAAACTTCATATACATGTTGGTGTTTGTTCAAATAGTAATATTCCATAAATTTAACATTGAACATAATTGTAGCTTGATTTGGACAGAATACATCTGTTGATTAGCCTATGATTAAGTAGTTTAGTTACTTGAAGTAGTTTAGTTACTTAGTCAAAGCAACAGTACGATCTGAGTTCCAGGGTTGGAATCCTGGTCTGACCACGTCACACTTTTTCACTAACACTGTTGCTGATTTTTTTCCACTTTTTTCCCCTTTTCCCACTCAAGTCCCCCAGGGTATGTTTTTCTCTTTAGAAAATGATCTTTATCAAAGCTTAAGTCATGCTGGCAAAATAGTTTTTAATGCATTGTTTCAGTTTTTGGCAGTAACATGGAGATCCTTAAGCTTCAGCAATTGTTTATGTTGGCAATGTAGATATTGACCCGCCAAATTAAAGTTTCGCTTTATTTAATCGCTTAACAGTGCACTAAACAGAACTAAACAATCAGTTCAACAGCAATAAAGACAGTTTAAATACAAAGGGGAAAAGTTGAAACCTTCCCGGTAGTTTGGAATCAGATGTCACATAAAATGTTCTATTTTATTACCCAATCGCATGGATTCCGATAGAGATCATTTGAAGGAACACACATATATGCGAGACTTTTTAACAAATTTTACATCAGCAAAGTGAAAACCAACATCAGATAGATTTATATGATTCCAGATCTACCTCCTCAGCAACAACAAAGAACACTGACTGCACCAATAATATTGATTCTTGGTGTTATTTACAGAACCAGACATATCCTCATTATTGCACCACATATATGAATGGTATCTCACAGCCTAAAACCCTGAACATCTTCAGATAAATCAAACAGCACATTTACACTCAGATCCCACACATAATGTTACTGATAACACAGGACCTAACACAAAACACAGCTCCCTTTGGCACACAAAAACACAGCTCCCTGGGGCACACAAAAACACAGCTCCAAGGGCCACACAAAAACACAGCTCCAAGGGCAACACAATACACCTGGGTCATATATACAATACAAACAGCTCCCTGGGCCACACATAATACACAGCTCATCAGGCCAAACAATGCACACATCTCCCAGGCCACACAATACCCACAGCTCCGAGGGCCATACATACAATACACACAGCTCCCAGGGCCACACAATACACACAGCTCCCTGGGCCATACATACAATACACACAGCTCCCTGGGCCATACATAATACACACAGCTCCCTGGGCCACACATAATACACAGCTCATCAGGCCAAACAATACACACATCTCCCAGGCCACACAATACACACAGCTCCGTGGGCCATACATACAATACACACAGCTCCCAGGGCCACACAATACACACAGCTCCCTGGACCATACATACAATACACACAGTTCCCTGGGCCATACATAGAATACACACAGCTCCATGGGCCATACATAGAATACACACAGCTCCGTGTGCCATACATACTATACACACAGCTCCCAGGGCCACACAATACACACAGCTCCCTGGGCCATACATACAATACACACAGCTCATCAAGGCCACACAATACACTCAGCTCCCTGGGCCATACATAGTATACACACAGCTCCCTGAGCCATACATATAATACACACAGCTCCCAGGGCCAAACAATACACACAGCTCCCTTGGGCCATACATACAATACACACAGCTCCCTGGGCCATACATACAATACATACAGCTCCCAGGGTCAAACATACAATACACACAGCTCCCTGGGCCATACAAACAATACACACAGCTCCCTGGGTCATACATACAATACACACAGCTCCCTTGGGCATACATACAATACACACAGCTCCCTGGGCCACACAAATCACACAGCTCCCTGGGCCATACATACAATACACACAGCTCCCAGGGTCAAACAATACACACAGCTCCCAGGGCCATACACACAATACACACAGCTCCCAGGGTCAAACAATACACACAGCTCCCTGGGCCAAACATAACACACAGCTCATTATAAGGCCAAACAATTCACACAGCTCCTAGGGCCACACATGATACACAGTTCATAATACATGGCCACCAATAATACACAGCTCCTTGGGCCACACAATACACACAGATACCATGGACCTCCTATAACACACACGCATACACTACACACATGCATCTTGCATACAAGGCCACCCTTAAATGACAATAGTTGTTGATAGGACGTTAAACAATACCAAACCTAAACAAACTAAGCCACACATAACATACAGATCTTAAGGCCAACCAAATCACACAGCTACCCTGGGCCACACATAATACAAAACTCATAAAGCCAACCAATATGCACAACTCCCGGGGCCACACAAAACACACAGCTTCATGGGCCTCACAATATGTAGCTCTGGGGACACACAAAACATTCAGCTCAAGGGGGCCATACTATACTTAGTTCCTGGACCACTAAAAACAAGAAGCCCATGGGCCTTAACGGTCACCTGATATATTTATACAGAGAGTTGATTTTGTTTTTAACACGAACAGAAATATTACTCAAAGTGACAAAAAAACAATAAAACCACCTTATTCAATATCTAGCATACTGATTTAAGACTAAAAAGTATTTGAAACTAGCACCTCTGATTTTAAACAAGGAAAATGAAGAAATTTTAGCACACATACTCCTTTGGGCCCCACCCTACAGCCCTTGGGGGTAGGGCTGGCTCAAAATTTTCATAGTATCAAACTGTCAACTCAGGGTTATAATTCCAATCAAGTTATTAACATGTAATAATTAAAGTATCATTTGCCCCTATAATCCATAATACATTTTGCCCCCCCCCCCCTTCCTTCCCTCCCCAGGGAGTAAACGTGAGATCCTAGGGTCATAAACTTTAAGACCCTTCCATCTATGAAGAGTGGCCCCGCCCCTCAGGCCCCTGGGGGCTGGGGACAAAACCGGCCTCCCTTTTTGTTGACCTTAGGCCATGGAAGGTTTCTGCAAAATTTCATTGAAATTGGTTCAGGGGTTTTGGAGAAGAAGTCGAAAATGTCAATTGTTTACGGACGGACGCCGGACGCCAGCGGACAAAAGGCGATCGCAATACAGTAGTTCACTGATGACAGGTGACCTAATAAACTACTTTAAGGGCCATGCAAACCAACACATAGTTCCCATGCTAGGTCACATAACACACAATCCACATACAGCTTGCAATTTTGTGGGACCATGCAAGACACAGCTCCCCAGACCATAGAATACACACAGTCTGGGACTTCTCTGGCTACACATTACACACAGCTTCCAGGGCCACACATTACACACAGCTTCCAGGGCCACACAATACACACAGCTTCCAGGGCCATTGCAAACCAACACACAGCTCCTTCACATAAAATACAG